GGTGGCTGTAATAGTATCTTCTGATTGTTCATACATGGAGTATGAAAGGGTCACTGGTCTTTTTTTGGTTTGAAAAATGAGTAATTATATCGAGTGTTAAAAATGGTTTCGTATTGTCGATTTGTTGCCATTACTGCATCTATGTAATTTTGTTGTGTAAACCATTCAGTGTTAATACGATAATATTGAAGTTTTCTGAAAGATATTCTCGGTTTAAAGTTGCCCTAGTATAATGCGACTGTACTTTAGGAAATAATTCAATGTGCTTTAATAGTGGCTTTTGTTATACTTATTTTATTAGACCTATTATTATGTCTCTCCCACATATCTTGAAGTCCCTCATCTACATGCATAGTTTCTTCTATTGCTGTATAAACCATATAATCGGCTTGATCCACTGGCCCTGCATAGAGATATTGCTTCACTGTGCATCTTCTATCGCATCTATTATGGGAAATGCTCCGAGGAATTGTTCGGACTCATACCTGCCGCTACTTTCCGCCATCGTTCCACGCGACAAGAAATCCACGCCCATCATTTGGATGGTTGGAAGTCCACAACTGTGCGTTTTTCTAGAAGTTTCCTGCCTCGCACAGTCAAACTCTGGAACAGTTTGTCGCCAGCGGTATTTCCGGACCGATACGACCTTCAAACATTCAAGCATAGAGCATATTCGTCCCTCAAAGGCCGGCAGCGCGCTTGTAGCCCCTCTGGTGTTGCAGGTGTCCATGGGCGACGGTAATCAAAAGTAGTCAAAAATTTGCGTGGCCTTGTTTTTACGGTCTAACGTCATTCGTTTAATAGTTCGTGCCTTAACATATCTACTAATATACAACCATTGATGTTCGCGATCAGTCAAACTATAGCTTGTCTATATGACTGACTGAATTTTTGGCTACAACCTTTTCTATATCAGATTCACTATTTTCTGTGTATTCTATATTGATTAATAGATTTATGAGCAACCTAGACCATATCCTCATGATTACTTTCTATTGCCTCATTATGCCAGGAATTGTTTAAAGTTCTACGAGCCAGTATTTTATCAGTGTTACTTTCTGACTGTTCTTCTGGTTTTAATGTTTCATTTTTTTCTTCTTTGCTACTTATCTGTCGTATTAAGCTTGGACTATACTCATTAATTTCCTAATCTTTAATTTTACTATTGTTTAGAGTTCTATCAGTAAATGATTTATTGTTATTAATTTCTGACGATCCTTCTGGTTTTAACGCGTCATCTAGAACTCCTTGTTTGCTTAATATACTTCCTACTTTTGGAATTGAATGATTTTCCTTTTGAATACCTGGTTGAGATAAATCTGAGTTTACTATGTTATTTCTGATAAAGAAGCCACGAAATCTGCGTTGATTAAATACCATGATAGATATGAAATTATTGATGGAGTGCTAATTTAGAATAAATTTACCATATTGAAATGTAGCGTATAATCATGAAAAAACACTAAACTTAAATAACATTGTAAATATATATTACGGAATACGTTTATTTAAATTCGTTCAACAACAACCCCTTATTGACGTTTGCCAAAAACTTCGTAAAAATTATATACGCCAATAACCCGGTAAACGCAACTTACCAAAATAAAATATAAATATTTTTTTTGTACAGACCTAAAGCAGGGTTTTTGACGTCATATTTTTTATTCAAAATTCCCAACAATAAAATTGTATATCATTATATCTTTGTAAATATCATTAGGAAAAATCTGAAAAAAATTGCCAAGGTGTATTCCAGTCCACAGATGCCAAATATGCCATAACAGCATAAACCCCATAATATCACATTACCGAGTTATTGTTTGGGGGGGTCGATATAAACCTTCCTCTTAAATCACTCTGTATATTGTTGAACCGCACTAAAATGCGTTGAATCTCAAGGTACAGACAGCAGGAACCGACTTTGCTTTATACTGTGTATAGATTCCAGTTAGTAGTGGACATATGTGATATTCTCCATACAATTTCGTTATATTACATTTTTTCTTTGCTAGATGTTAGGTAAAAAACTTCAATAGTTTGTTACTTTATATTATTAAGTCTAAATTTGTTTTACTGGATATCATGTTGCCAACTACCTACTTATTTGCAATGTTTATGAAACAAAGAGCATAGATAAATATTTTTCCTTGAGGTCCTTGCTGATTAGTTTATAATGTTATGAAACTTCGTTGTTTCATTTGGCAGCTACAATTAAAAATTAAAAACGCTAATTTGTTACAGAATTATGACAACTGACACTTGATCATGACTAGGGCAAGCGTTATTATAAAATATCCGAATTTTTTACTTTATCTAGTTCCCCTAGGAATACTTATCTAGGTTACAAACCGTTAAGTGACGGTTATTCTTAAACGAACCAAAAATATTCGTTAGATCAGAGATTTATTGTATTCTCTAGTTATAACCAAGTGATAGCTGTCATAAAAACTAACTTAACTAATCCATCTTTCATTCATTTCATTTTCATTTTACATGTAGAAATTTATTTATTCACTTGACATTGGCAGAATTGTGCAAAATGCGCAGATAAGCCATTAATAAAAGAAGAAGAAGAATGCCATCAAAGTATTATTAGCTCCCGTCTCCACAATAGTATTATGTTTGCCGTTGGAGCGGACTATCGATTAGCTAAAAATCTCTGGATGGAGGCAGCGTAGGATCCATCTTTGTGGAGACCTATGGGGGAGATCCCTAGGAGCAGTGGGTGTCGTATGGCTGATGTGATGATTTTGTTTGCCACCGATATTCTAAAAACTCGCGAGCAACAGCTGCCATTCAGCCCTAATTAAAGCTTTGTCCGCCAACCGTAGTGAACTCAAAAACTGTTTATAAATAATTAAAATTTGATTTTACAGTGGAAGGTGTTCATCTTTGCAAAAATATACATAGAATGAAGAAGCTGTTACAGAAATTGAAAGGCTGCGGGATGATAACAGTTGATGCAGCATTGCCTTTGCATATTGCAAGTCAACTAACCACTTATACAGTGGTTATACTGCAGTTTTCTTTTTTGTGAATAAAGAAATCAAATATAGAAACCAGGGAGATAACATAACATAGGTTTATAATAAGTTTTAAGGAAATTGTTGTGAGAAAATTTTTATTACAATCTATTGGGTTGGCACAAAAGTAATGAGACACACTAGAAAAATCCATAACATTTCCTTTTTAAAATCAATTTTTTCGATAATATTCTAGAATGTTGTAGTACATTCTAGGTACTTCTGGTGTTGGGTATATAAAGCCGCGCTCGCGATTTGTTTAGTCAGTTTGAAGAAAAATGGACGAGCGACAAGTTCGAACACTATACTTATACGAGTACTTGTTAGGCCACAGTGCGCGGGCTGCGGCTGACAATATCAACAATGCATTAGGCGCTGGAAGTACAAGCCATGCGACGGTGTCCTGATGGTTTGACCGTTTTAAATCAGGAGACAGGAGCCTTGAAAGTCAGCCACGCTCAGGGCGACCATCCGCAGTGAATGATGACGATTTGCGCCGCGAACTGCAGTTGAATCCGGATGCTACCACTCGTGAATTAGCGGAAGCACTTAAATGCAGTCACCACGCCGTGGAACACCATCTGCATGAGCTTGGTCATCGAAAAGTTTTGGCTCGGTGGGTACCGCACATCCTTACAGACGCCAGTCTTGCAGTCCGTGTCGCTATCTGTCAGTCACTTTTGCTGCGACCCCGACGTAAAGAGTTTTTGTCAGATCTGGTTACTGGAGATGAATCATGGATTTATTACGAGAACGATACACGTCGTGCTTTTTGGCTGCCTCGAGAAGAAACGCCACCAACTCAACCGAAGCCGAGTCAAAAGAACCGCCGAAAAATTCTGCTTTGCTGTTTCTGGGATGCGCAAGGCATACTGATTTATGAGCTATTACACAATGAAACTATAAACGCTGACAAATATTCAACCCAGCTTACCAAATTATCTGCCGCTATCAAGAAAAAACGACAAAGACGAGTCAATGTAGTTTTACTACACGATAACGCTCGACCTCACGTCGCATCTGTGGTTCGCCGGCAGTTGGAGAACTTGGGCTGGGAGACGATACCCCACCCACCTTATTCCCCAGACCTCGCCCCATCAGACTATCATTTGTTAAGAGCCCTGAAACAGCATTTGCGGGGTAAACAATTTAATGATTTCTCTGACGTAGAGGCGGAGTTGAACAACTTTTTCGAGGCACAGCCATCAGAGTTCTGGGCAAAAGGCATCCAAATTTGCCGGATCGTTGGCAAGAAGTCTTAGATACTAATGGTAATTACATCATTGACTAAACTTTTTTTATTGTAATAATAATAAAAAAGTAAAAACTTAAACCAAGTGTCTCATTACTTTTGTGCCAACCCGATATTTACTTAATTATGTATATTCCGTATACAATAATTATGTAGTATATGCATAATAAAGCTAACTTAACTACATATAAGTAGAGTTCAATCATAATACTGCTTTTGAGGTATAGCCTTGTTATACTTCCATTTTTCAAAGTGGTAATAATTTTTATACGTAGCTTGTGAAAACCTCGACGAGATATCTGATATTATTAAGAACAACGCATGTTGTATAAATTTAAAGAATGAAAGAAATACTTTGTAATTTTTAACAAAAAGTATTTTTTTAATAAATCAGACTAAGAAACGCTTAAAAAGAAGCTATGTTGAAGTTGGGTGGTTAATTTAAAATAACCTACATAAAACCTCCGCCTGACGTTCATTAAAAATGTCTTGAATATATGAATCGTCTTAAACATCTTTATGAGTTGATGTATCTAACAAGCACCCCTCCACGAAGTATCCTTAGCAGTCTTTTTGATCGTGTTTATGTTTTAGTAAATTATTTAAAATACATTTTATTCTTATATATATATCTCAATAGCGAAAAATTCCCTAAGATCGATATGAAAGAAGATATCTTGATAAATGAACAAGGGAGCTTTTAAAATCCACATTTCTGTTCACATCTAACAATCCTCCGATTTGGTCAATTGCTTCTCTTTTATTTTCTCTTTCTTTATCTTTAACGCCTCGTAGATTTGATCCAATGTTTTATTTCTTGTTTCTGGTATAAATATCAATACGTATATTGCTGCTGTCACGCAAATTCCAAAGAAGAAGTAAAAGGCTACGTGTACTCCAATTGCTGTCGCCAATGGTTTGAAGAATAGCATTTGTAAGAAAGCTGAGAATGACGCTGCTGCCATGGTGATAGCCATCACAGTGCCACGATACTGAAAATGAAAGATTTTGATAAATTCGATCCTCTTAATCTATTTATTATGCTAAATATCATTGTGAATGTATATTTTTTTGGCTGCAATCTGCATACAATCTGATCAAATTATTTCTTTAAATATGTGGATTCGATCCAAATTGGATAGTGCCTCGTTCATTTTTTTTTTTCACATTAGTTTTTTTTTTTTTTGTATGAGCAGTTTTCATCCATTCTGAAAAGTCTTTGTATGTTGAAGATTTATTTCTATATTTTGTTACAATTCTCTCTAAGTTATTACTGGAAAATAAACAATGATGTTTATTTTCTGGTACATAAAGCCTGCTCCAGGTATAATTAAATAAAAAATATTAAGTGGATAAAGCGCTCGTGAAATAGAAATAGGAAATAACACTATCAATTTTAAAAAAATCGTCTTTCTATCTCTGATCTTGGCGACATAGAAAGCTAGAAAAAATTAGATGTATTTCAATAACGATTACCTTAAATGATACAATTTCACCGGTCAGCACCATAGAAACCGGCTGTAGACCAGAGGCATCACAGAAGATGGAAACGCATAATGTGACGACAGGAATCCATGCTGGAGCGTAATATCCCAAATTTTTGACCAAGAACCACGAAGCCAGACCACACATGCTCAATCCGGAGATCAAAGAAGTTATGAACAAGAGCATCTAAAAAAAAATTCGGTGTATTCACAGTCATACAATATAAAATTAAGTTTTTTTGAGTTCATTTGGCATGTGGCAGATATACATAATGTAATGTAAGGTATATCTGCCGTTGTACTATAAATTTATTTATGAATGTTGAAATATTGTTCTTTAAATTAAGTTTTTTGACCAATTAAGTGCGTGGCACTTATTTTCTGACTTACTTGATTTTTGACTTACGCGTACAAGATACGCTTCAGTCAATTGATATTGTACATCGCCAAACTTATCGGCCAATGAAAATGGGCCTTTAGTTTATCAAGACCATAAATCTATTGGCATAATTCAGATGGGTATTTGTCTTAAAGTTTTTATTTGGTTATTATATGTGATGTGTTTCCTCACAAGTTTAGTAGTACTATATTACGTAAACAAGTTCTAAGATTTATGACGATCCTCAAACCTAATTCTGATTTAATAAAATAAATCAATCTGTAAGATTACAGAAATGATGTGTGCAGGACTTAATATTATTTATTTAATTATATTTATACCAAAAACAACATACTTTCCGCCCTGCCTTTTCAACAACACTGGACGCTAACGCCGATCCAGCTACTTGTACCGCTCCAAGCATCATAGCTTGTTGATTTGGTGAAAGCACCAAACTTGATCCTTTAGAAGCCATTGAAAATATATCACCAGCGAAACTGAGTACCGGGATTGCACCACATACCTCCCTTGCCAACGTTACGACCATTGCAATGATGAATGCCCGTCGTAATATTCTATCTGATACTGTAAACATAAAAATTAGAAAAGGCACTAATAAACTAGAAGTTACTAATTTTAGAGATTTTGTATTACATCATCTTTATATTTATCTAAGACAAACAGAAGCATTTGTGGAAAACAGAGACTGAAGAAGTGTTAATAAATATCATAAACTCATAAAAATGACAGACAAATAAGATCACTTATATTACAATGGAGGAGCTCGCAGTGATTAGTAAAATCAAATTTTTTTTTCCTTGTGTTAGGGTGAACTCCTGAACATTGATTCAAAACGTTTACTAGCAGCAAAAGTAAGTAAGAGATTCGTTGATGTTGTTAGGTTTTGTGTAGTTCTTGTTAGAGTAGTCTTTTAGACTGCGAAGGGTGAATTCGAATAGCATCTCTGGCAGCGGCGAAATTTTAAGCCATTTTTACTTTAAGATAAAAATCAATATAGCATCGTGGAGGTATGAAATAACCTAAGTGGCTAAAGTACTGACAAGGACTGCTGAAAAAACAAGAAGAATCGATGATTGCTGGGGCAGAAAAAATCGTACCAGACAACGCTCAGTGGGTAAGGGAGGCTACCATATTGATCGATGATTTTATAAAGATTTCTGAAAGCTACTGGATACGGTTGACGCAGGACGTAGTGGAGATCTATGAAGGAGGTATATGCTCAGCAGTAGGCATCTTACGACTAATGACTTGACAGTTAATCAGCTGGCTGATATTAGTTCAGGTGTATTGTAGAAAGATGAATACAGCTATTCGTATGATTTAACGTCAGCCCATTAACTGAATGGCGCCACTTAATTAAGGGACTAACCGTCCAATTGGATGGCTGATTGAATTACTTCGCTAAGACATATCGCACGTTGAGAACGATAGTGACACAATGCAAAAAGTACATTTTTCTTTGTTAAGTATAAACTTTAAAATGCAAAGATTCCTGTAAACGTAGCTTGCATAGAAAATGCTAAGTGGCGTAGTGACGATACGTTGTTTAGAGGGGCTGCTTACAATTTCTTGAACTTTAAACGCGCATTACTCAAAATCGCATTTTTTGCATTGTGTCACTATCGTTCTCAACGTACGATATATGAAATTTGCTAATTGAGCCCTTTCATTTGATGCCCTACACGGAATGATTGAATAATATATTTCTTTAATTTCTTAATCTATGCTCTCTAAAGAGCGCTGTTGCCAATTTGATGTAAAGCTACAGCCTACAGCACAACTAAGACGCTTGTAATGATACCTCATCTGTCCAGTTATGATAAGTAGTTCCGAAATTATGAGGGAACAAATGAACATTCTTACATATACACATACATTCCGGCCAAAATGATAACCCTGCTATTCGCTTCGCCGTAGTCGGATAAAAAATAAAATCGAATACGTGACTTATAATTTGTTTACCTAAATATGCTACTATTTCAATAAATAGTGTAATTAATTTACAAAATAGGATTTCCAAACATTTAATCATATAAAAATAATATCATTAATACAAAGATAGAAATCTATGCACATAGTTTTATTGTTAGTTCGAATGTGTTTATATAAGAGTTTATAATATTTAATTATGATACAAAGTCATTATTAGGCTTGAAAGTACAATAGAAGGTTATTACTTATTTAATTTAAAATCACACAAATGCTCCTGCTTTATTTAATTACGTAAGCCTGTGTAAATATTAGACTTATACAGTGTTATCGAAATATTACATGTTAACTATAATTAAGTGACTTCAATATAAATAGATTAGATTCGTCAGTTTTTATATCACTTCTTTTTCCTTTCGAAATGTTCAAAGTCAAATGAAATGTGACCTACACCAATGCGCTCGTTTATACTAATATTATAAAAGGGCAAGATTTGATTGTCTGTAACTAATAGGCTCCGAATAGGCTCCGAAAACACTGGACTGATTTTTAAATTCTTATACCTACGAGAAGCTAGGTACATCATGTGCAATGGACATAGGCTATATATTATCCTGAAAAACTGCAAATAAAGGGATGAAAATAAGAATGGAAGTGTGTATAGTGAATTTAAACGGTACCATAGCAACAATTGGATTAAATGCTTATAATTGTTAAAATCTAAGCTATTTGATTATAATTTTGTAATACTTTTATCATTAATTTACTTGCAAAAGTTAATTAATGATTCAGTGTGTCAATCAATTATTGAAGTTATCATATTCTTACCGCGTTTAGCTCGTTAAGAAAATAAATCCTTACCAGTGCACAGCACGACGTAGTCTCGACACAGTTTGCGATAGCAATGTTACCGAATTCGTTCGCTAACTCATAGCGATCGCAATTTAACGAGTACAACATGTCTCTACAATTAAAGTTATCGATTTTTGTCGGTAGCGTAGCTAGTTCAACTGCGGATGTTGTTTTTTTATTACAATTTTTTTTATTATCTTTAAATAATGAAGTCTTAAAAACAGGTTTTTCAATTTTAATTAAACAATTCGTTGTGAATATTTTTAATAACTAAAAAAATATTCACAACGGATTGTTCTTATTAATTCACAGAAATAAGAATTCAAAATTTTTTTCATTTCTTTCAGATCTCAGACAGATAGGATGACATCAGCAGCGTACTTAATATGTTGTCCTGCCGACTCTGTCATGGCTTTAATGGGAGATAGGATTGGAAGAAAATATACATTATTATTTATAGCATCTACACTGGTCGTAAGTAAATATCGTGTGAGACTAAAAATTATATATACTAATATTATTAAGTGGCAGATTTAATTGTTTGTTAGTTTGCATTGAATAGGCTCCGGAATACTGTAAGAAGCCTATCACAATTATAAACGAGTTTCTTTATTTTTGTAACACGGCCGAACGTAAATGGCATTTAGCAGTAATTTTGCAATAATATTTATTGTTTTTATAGAATTAGGATAATAAATATGTGCTTATAACTTATGAAATCTTTGTTCTTTAAGGTATCAGACAAACTAAAGCTCGAAAGTTGATTACTTTTTACAAAAAAAAAATGTTACTTACAGATATTCTTAAGTAGAAATTTGCTTCCTTCACTATCTTTTTCTTGTTCCTTCTTCATGATCTGTAGCTCATTCTTGATCACCACATCATCTTCAGTTCTGCATCGAAGCCAAGCCAAGACTCTAGTGGCTTCCTTGGCACAATAAAATGTACAATATATGTAATTTTTAAACTTTCTAATAATTAATCGTTTAAGTTATTTCTAATCATTTCAATCTTTTATTGAAGCCTACTTTTCAACATTCCTTTTTATCTATTATCTTTATAATACCTTTTTTATATAAATGAAGTCATCTTTGTCACCATCAACCTATTAATGTCATCAGCCTATAATAACACACACACCCACAATGGGTTTTGGTGGTCATTAAAGATTACAGATGCAGCTGGGTCACGCATCCAATAACCGGCCCTTGTGAAGGTTGCTAAAATTCCACATGATACTGCAAGCAGCTAACTTCTGCGACAACGAGCTCGTTTGTTATGAATGATGTATATTCTTCTCAGTCGCGTCACTCTCGACAATTTCTCACCATTTGAATATATTTGACGACATTCTATTGCATTCGTGTAGTTAGTCAGGAACTGCTGATTTTATTTGGTCAGCCCATCGCATGGGTGATCTGCCATAGGTCTGATCCCTATGACTCTTCCCAGGACCACTAAAAACGCTCTATGGAGTGCAGTTTACCTCCAGTAATGTCCAACGTGGTCATAGTTTCATCTCGAGACATAGCAAAAATACTTTGAAATGACTATTATATTATTAATAACTTACCTCTACATTTCCCTGCTTCAGTAAAAAAGATGGCGACTCCGGCATCATCATAAAAAGAATCAGATGCAGCGTGGGCAATGCTAGGCAAACCCATAAGAACGTGTTATAGGTTAACAGATCTCCCATGACATACCCAAAGAGATTGCCGGTAGTTTGGAATAATACTAACTGTAACAAAGCAGAAGTTTTATGAATTAAGATTAAATAATTATTTAGTTTAGTAAAAACTTTCTTTTTATATAAATAAATAGTCCATTAATATTTGAGAAATAATGTAGAAGTAACAGCATGTCTGCAATTAATAGTTTATTTTCGCGAATATATAACAGAAAACTAAATTTTCACTTGCAGGACACAACTCTAATTTTTTTTTTTCAACTATTACAATACGGGTATCAAATTAAAGGTCTCGATGAGTACATTCCAAAAATATATTTTGTATACATTAACTGGCCACTAAAAGAAATAAAATAAATAATGTGATAATTCTAAAATACGTGTGCCAAAATCGAACTAAAAATAAAAAAATTGCATTATGGCTTTGCTAAACAAAATTCTCATAGCACTCAAGTGACCGCTCTGTAGAACATTTGTTATCTAAAAGGTACTGGTAAACACAACTTGTTTCTTATATCTTTATTTCGGTTTCAGCAGTCGTGTTTTATAGAGTAGCAAGAGTGTATATCTCACTTTAAATTTGGTTTAAATGACTTACCATTGTTCCTAAAAATCCTCTTATAGAATCCTGGCTGATCTCCTTAGTATATATTGGGCAGATGACAAAACATCCAGCCATATTCAAACCGACTAAAGCTCTAGCTGCTATAAATGCTGGCACCTCATACGATGCCAATTTTATTATCCAACAGCCCTAAAATATAAAACAAATCTCATTTTACTCCAAGTCTTGAGTATTATAGAAATTATTATAGGACTTTGCCCGTATATCAACTGCGCATAATATAGCTGCCCGTTGTTAATAGAAACCTTAAAAAAACTTATTATAAACAAAAGAACTTCGAAAATAACTTAAAGTTAACTGTGATTTTCTCCTATTAACGGTAATATTATTGAACTAAATTTGTACCTAAATAATTATTGCTTCATAAGAAATAAATATTTAATAACTTTAAAGCACATATTTATTATCCTACTTCTATAAAACGATAAATGTAATATCAAAAATAAACAAACTCTTATATTTTTGTGATAGGCTTACAGTATTCCGGAACCTATTCAATGGAAACAAACTAAAATAGATAATGTTTGGTCTCACACGATATTTACTTACGACCAGAGTAGATGTTATAAATAATAATGTATATTTCCTTCCAATCCTATCTCCCATAAATGCCATAAGAAAATCGGCAGGACAGCATATTAAGTACGCCGCTGATGCCATCCATGATATCTGAAAAGATTTTCGAAAAAAAAATGAATTGTTATTTCTGAGAATAAATATAGTTTTAAAAAATCTTTCACAACGATTTGTATAATTAGAATTGAAGCAACCCGTTTCTAAAACTTAATTACGATAACTTCAATAAGTGAGTGACACACTGAATCATTTAAACACTATTGCAAGTAAAAAAGTTTTACAAAATAATAATCAAAGAGCTGAGATTATAATAATTATATATTGAATCCAATGGGGCGCTCAACAGCGTTGGAATTAACACGTTCAGTCCGCGACTTTCCCAAAGGACAGCAGAACGTTTCCATAAAAATCCTTAACCGAATTCGAATTCGCTTCGGAAGCAAATATTTACGGAATGTAGCATAGAAGCTCAGGATGGGTGACAAAAAATAATTATCTCGAGCTCTATGCTTCGGAATGCAATCTAAAGGACTCTGAATGTTACTGTAGTCGTTAATGCCCACCAATCTGCATTATGCCCGCGTGGTGGCTTTAACTACTAACAGACGGTGAAGATGCTATAATATATAATAAAATAACATTAACGTGTTTTAACATCTTAACACACGGTTAAGATACGATACCATGAGTACAATAATATTTCGTATCTGAAAATAATCTATGAAATATATCGCTTAGCGTCTTAAGATACCCACTTTATATGAAAATATTAACAATTATCATAGCCGGGTGTGTTAGGCCATTGGAAAATATGGCGAGCGATATCTAGTACGACCTTTATATGCCATTTTCCCTATTCGATTCCATCCAGAGGGGATATCAATAGAATAATTGAATCCATTAATGTCTTAAAATTAATGTCTGATGATGAGGATGGAAAATTTTGAATATTGTGGGATTATTAAATCAACAAAACCCTTACTTCTGTATCTGTTAGAGGTCTACCAGTCGGAGAATCTTTAGATTGAAGTAGAAGAGTCATCGGTGACAACCATCCGATGCTTGCGCCGTACGCAAATAAAGGCAGGTTTACTGGTGAAAAATTAAAAATATTATTAATTCATCAAAGTAATGGGTGATACCAACAGGTAGGTAAAAAACGTTGGTCGTTTCAAACGTACAGTTAACTAAAACAGCTGTATATGCAAATTTGTCAATTTGACCCAGTTGATTTTAAATCTGACATACATTAGGGTAGAGTGTAAATCTAACGCGTAAATTTGACATATTGTCGTTATATGTCGTGCTGCTGTGTGTTTTTAATGATATTTTTCGTATATAGATTATTTTGATTTTAAATATTTTTTTTCATTTATATTAACAATAAGCTGTATTGAAACCTCGTTTTACACATCACAGTTTTTAAACGACTTCCAAATCGAAAAGCAGGTTTTTTTTTTCAACGGGTACCTATGTTTTTGCAGTATTTTACTATAACGATGGTATTTTATTACGGCCTTAATATAAGTACAGTATATTTTTTCTGATTATCATATGTGAAAATTATCGGTTCCCAGTCAAGATACAAGTCACTGATTAACCTAAAGTTTTAATTATTTATAAATAACAAGCTGTGCCCGCGACTTGGAATACCGACTTTCGACAGCATCTTTAATATTAAGGGTTCCGTACCCAAAGGGTAAAACGAGAACCCTATTATAAAGACTTTGCTGTCTGTCTGACTGTCACCGGGCTGTCTCATGAGCCGTGAAGACTAGACAGTTGAATTTATTCACAGACAATATAAATTAATTATTAATTAAAAAATATAAATTAATTTAAAAAATATATATTAATTACAACATCACATACATTGCTCAGTTTCCAAGACAAGTAGCTAAAGCCTCCGTTTTATGGAATATCTGCGACAACGAAGGTACCACAACACCCAGACCCGAGACAATATAGAAAAGATTTCTTTCTACATTGACCCGACTGGGAATCGAACCCGGTTTTTGAGGCTAATTATTTTGCATATAAAACACATGTATTAATTAAAAAAAGCTATTTACATTAGGTATTTCTTGTTATTTAAGCACAAGATTAACGTTCAACTACTTTAGTAGACGCAAATAATCAATACTTCTGTAGTTTTTACAATTATTTGACTTGTGAATGTAAGTAAAGAAAAATTATTAAAATTAGTCTGGAAAGCGAAAAAACGTATAGGTTATTCTTTTTTAAACATAACACAAATATTATGGAAGCAGGTACTCTGACCAACCACTAAATAAAGTAAAAAAAACAATATGAGTGAATATCTCATATTCTAAGTTAGTTATTAAATAATATATTTTATTTAAAAACTCATTTATTGATTAAAAACATTTATCAAGTAACCATGCTTTCAAATGTGAATTATATAATTTTTGTGGCAACATTTTTAATATATTTATTGACGTCATATGTGATGTTTTATCTCTTATAATAGTCGGAAAACTACTTTGTTTGATAAAAATCAGAAAAAAGTCGACTACAAATATAACAAAAATTAAAATCCCGTTATAAAAGTACAGTAACGTCATCTAGTGCTCAGTAGTGGAAGCTAAATGTAACATAGGTACAAATTATTTTTCACGCTGTTAATGATTCCCTATTAAATTAAGTTATTGGAAAAACCGGAATCAATAACAGGAAAGGGAATCATTAACAGCGCAAAAATTATACCTATGTTACATTTAGCTTCCACTACTGAGAGTCAACACTTGATGACTATCAAACTAATAAACTACACAGATGCCTTATCCCATGACCAAAATGTGACCGTCCTAACTAGGGTTATTTTGTCTTACTCGCGTCGGAACTAGATATCGCAAGTATACAAGCTACACTTACTTAGCTCCTCATGCCCTAGTAATTGTTTTCTTTGCTCGTCCTATTATATGGATACTCGCATAACGTCGGTAGATGGCGCTTTCAATGATTAGTCGATGATTAGGGCAGACGCCAAGATTTTGAAAAGTTATTGGTTCGAATCAAACTTCAATCATCTGAGACTGGTGAAACTTTTAAGAATTTTTCTTTAAGATATTTAATTATTTTACGATAATTTCAAAATATTTTTAGTTATTTGGAAAAATAATTTAAATATTTTTATTTTAGTGACAAACGTGATGTGACCTCACTAATTATTCAAGTTTACTAAATGGACTGCTTAATGAATCCTTATAAATTAATAATACAAAGAAAACTTAAAAAAAAAAAAGTCATCAAAGTCGATCCATTTCTGACAAAGATATGGTGAACCAGAAATATATTCAAATTGATGAAAAACAGTTAGTCGAATCTATAACTACCTCCTTTTATAAATAGTTTAGAGGGTTACAGAAATGAAAAGATTTTTATATGACTGTCAACAGAAGGGGAGCGTTAAAGAAGACTCATTACCTATGTCGCAAAGTCATAGATTTTGTTTTAGTGGTAAACAGGACAATCATGCCGGTGTAGCCTCGATAAGTGGACTATGCAACACAAAACAATAATTCAATTCGTTTCAGTAGAGAAACAAACAAACTCTTCAGCTTTATTATTAGTATATAGATGACGTTCATACTCATTGACATGACACATAAATTTTTCACCAGCGGCTTCGCTCGCGTGGTCCACGTTTTATACATATAAAACATTCTTTTGAATAGTAGTAGCGAAGTAGCTTTCCGTCTGTCTGTCCTTAAGCTTAGATGTTTAAAACTACACAACGGATTTTGATGCGATTTTTTTATGGATAGGGTGATAGGGTGCTATCCATAAAAAAATCGCATCAAAATCCGTTGTGTAGTTTTAAACATCTATTTAATAACTATGATATTAGAAGTGGACAGTACATCCAAAATCACTAACATTCAACAGGTTTTGCACAAATAAATAATATACAAACAGCCAGTTGCACAAACGTCCATTCAAATTATCATTAGTTTAAAGCGACATTACCCATACAAATTTGACATTCATTAGAGCTTAATGATGCCTTAATGGACGTTTGTGCAACTCACCGAAAGAAGCTGTAATTAATAAAAAAAATCACACATGAGTACTTTCTTTCATAACGTGAATTTATAAAATTATCTCGATAGAAAATTTGAAAGTTACTCTTAAAATTCAACATTATGCCCATTTAATGATGTATTAACTACACCATTAAACACCTCATTTTAACAGGAAACTTTATAAATTCGTTTAAAACTTTGTGACTGTGTCATATACGGAGTCCTATCTTCACTTGATACAACTGCGCTGCGATAGACACTACTACAAGCATGAAGCGCGTGTGTGCGTGAGCCCTGGCCGCACTCATGTGATCGATTATGCAGCCCTTTTAACAGTAATCTTAATAGTTTGCCAATAATTATTTAACCTTCAAATGTGCAAAAGGTTGTTTGTAACGGCAGCAAATAAACAATATCGAGTTTTGGGGTGACGGGAGCACCAAGAGCGCAAACAAACCATTTTTTTTCGTACTCCTCCGCCATATCCGCCATTGTATACGACTGAATGTCAGGCTATCACAATAGGAATGTCAAGTTGATTTTTATCTACCATCAAAACTTATTGTTCACATTCAAGTTGAGAAATGTGACAGATTTGTATAGCATGATGTTAAAAACTTAAAAAAATGGAACCGACTACAAATTAAAAAAGTGAAAAATGAGAATTATCTTAAAAGCGGTAAAATTTTTTTAAGAAACGTTAAAGTCAGGCTGAAGTTTTCTGTATACATATTACCCGCTCGTCGGTCGGATATCTAATCGGTTCCATTTTCTTTTTTGTTTTTATATCATGCATTTTAGTGATATTTTGAGTTTTGGGGTAACAAACAACACGCATACTTTATGCAAATTTAAAACTTATATGGTTGTCTCATAGATGCCATTTCCAGATTTGGACCAAATTAAAATCACGCATACTTGATGCAAATTTAAAACTTATATGGTTTTCTCATAGATGCCGTTGTCAGATCTAGACCAAATTGAAATAGGACCACACAGCAAGCCCTAGCTTTCAAATAAAGTAAAAAGCTATGAAGTAACAAACAGAAAAAAAATACAGTCGAATTGAGAACCTCCTCTTTTTTGAAGTCGATTATAAACTACAGGCTTAGCTAGTAATAATATTATTACTCTTTTGCCTTTACGCCCCCTCTTAAGAAAGTAATCGAAATGACCTATTTAGTAATGAAATTATTATATCTGATTACTAGTTAACCTTTTAATTATCACTTCGAGTTGTATATAAATATCTCGGTGATAAAATAAGCTTAGAAGTCCCGTTGAAAATATTTCTAGATACTCACTTAAAACTGCACATATTATTTGATTTATTTTACTGCCTTCACCAAATACAAAGTAATATTTAGCCATTACAAACTTATTAATATAGTAGTAACAAAAAACACTCGTTTAACAATTCTATTACATTATTATTATTGAGAATACTTTTATTTTTAATTCATCTTCACTGTATAAGATATTCTCTCAATGCACGGTTGCTATTCTATATCGTTTAGTTCTGAATAAATTACTCGCGCTTCATTGGCAGTAAATTATTGTGTCAACAGCGAATTAATCTTACATTAATGTGTGACGACAACAGTGACAAGAAAATCTTAGATAGTTGACAGTCTCTTTACTTATTAAACTTTTACTTATGTTTAAACTAAAAGATAAAAAGTAAAAATAACATTTCAATATGTCAATGAATAAGACTAAATGATTTCATATCGTAATAAATGCGCACAATAGAGCTATTTCTTTAAAAACGTTGTTTGATTAAAGAAGTTCTTGCAAATTAATAAGATTCTAATCAATTTTTCTTGCAAAAAGAGTATTTATGAGAAAAAAAATAATATACTTATGATACATTTTAAACATACGACGGGTTTAAATTAAACGGTTTATTGATAAAGTAAATATCTAAATTTCGGGCCTCGACTAAAAGCAACTAACGAATACGTACCTACCTGTTTATTAAATTTCATCATAAAAAGCGTTAAACGAAAACAAGATAACTACGAGACGAAATAAATTGTATTCAAATATATTTCAATTCCCTTTTAACCTATTCAATCAGCCATGAACGCAATGAACGTATCGCAGCTAACTGGTTCAATGACCTTTCAATTGGCTGGCTAGCACCGTATATGAATGACGCCATTCAATTACAAAGCGTACAGCTGGTTTTGTAGTTGAATCACTGTGGCATTGAAACGATCAATATGGCGACTAGTTAAGCAGCCGCCGGCCGCCGTGTCGTCACATCTATTTAGTTTATTTCTATTCCGCGACGTCGCTGGTGTCGATTTGTTCACAAAATGGCGTCGGCAGTCGGCTTGTGAGTGTATTTTTGATCGTTTCGTGTTGTTTTTAATGTGAATACCGACAAAATAAGTTGATAGTGTTATTTAAAAGTGATAAGTAATGGAGTCAACTACCGCAGATTCAAGTGAATTAAAATTTCAGCAAAACTTTGAAGAGAAATTACACCATTATGATAATAATCACTTAGGTAATTTTTTATTTCACTAATTCACCGGGTTAGCGTTGGTCAAATATTGTATGTAGGTTAAATTTAACCTACTTCTCCTAGTTTTCGATTGAGCTGAAAATTAGCATGTACATTTAACTTCTATGGCAATGCATTATTAAGATGGAATAGAGCTGATCTGATGATGGGCCTGGAAGGTGGCCATGGAACCTCTATAATTAAACGAAGCAACCCTTCAAGTTTGGGCTCATTTGATATCTCTTCACAAGGACTTTGGTCAGAGATGACATCCAGGGTCTGATGATGGAATTGGAAGGTGGCCAAGGGAACTTTGTTATTAAATAACTCAACCCTGTCGAGTTTGGGCTCGTTTGATTTGTCTTGACAAGGACCTAGGTCCGAAATAACATACAGGGTGTGATGATGAAATCGGAAGGTGGCCATAGGAACTTTGTTATTAATTAACGCAACCTTATCGAGTTTGGACTCGTTTGATTCGTCTACACAAGATCTATATGGTCTAACAAAAGTTTTATTTCTAAAAGATTTTTTTGTCACAATTATTTTTTAATGTGTTTTTAATGTCACAAATATGTTTCTATTTTAAACGTATGCTTGACGACTACCGTAGCTAAGTGGTTTGCACGCCGGTTTCAAAGTGTCGCCGCCATATCAGAGGTCCCGGGTTCGATTGCCGGTCGAGTAAAGTAGATGAAGAACTTTTCTGTACTGTCTCGGGTCTGTGTTGTCGTACCTTTATACTCTGAGCAATGTATGTGATGTTGTTTGATGTTTATTTTTTTATAATACTATTTATGATATTAATATTCAATTACAAATTGTCGTTATACGTATATTGGATCTTTTTCATTCACCAGTTAGCACACACCTTAATGTAGCAGGCTTCAAAGACATTTAATATAAGTATGAGGAACATTTAAATTTACTATATCTATGGGCTATAATTTAGATCTTTCAATGTTCATCGATTGCGCTAGAATTGACAAATATATTAAATGCTTTGCCACTCGACTGATTATCGGTCCGTCGAGCATACTAACGGATATTTCTGTTGATATGCACTCACCCTAAAAACAACAATATCGAAAAAAGTTTTGCCTTATATCCTCCAAGGGAAGGGGTACGCAGACACACCCATCGCCCGTTCATGATTTACAGTAATTGTTCATTTAAGAGCTCCATTTTACCTTAAAAAAATGGTGAGTTCACGTCACATAAACTTGAAGGTGGGGAGGTATCAAAGGTATCTGATCAATAAAAATATCTCTTCAAATACAGCGATTCGTGTAATTACTGTCAAACTTCACTTCGAGTTTGTTTTACGTACGAATAGGTAACATTATCGAAATAAGGAATCGATTATTACAAGGCTGATTTGCACTTATTCAGTTGTTTTTTTTTTCAACCAAATTTTAACTTTAACACCCATATACCATAAACGACCTTTAAGATTTAATTTTCTAGTAAAAAGGATCGATACTGTCGCTTTGAACTAATGTCGTTTCAATACGTTTATGCGACTAGCCGTATGCCATTAGAGAATTGAACCTTGCCTTACAATTAAGTACCTTTGTATCCATATGTAGTTAAGTAATTAACCTATTTTCGACACAGCTAAATAAATACAAAATTTAGCAAGATTAAACAATTCAGGTGTACTAACGGAAGCAACGGGTCCCAACTCAATACATAGTTAAAAGAATTAATACATAACTATAACTGGGAATAAATTTCTTTTATAACAGAGTACTGTTTGTTACTTGTTACTCGTAAATTTCGTGTTTACATGCTATTAATATGAAATACGAAATTTTGTGTTTAAATACAATCAATATTATACTGAATTAACTGCTTACATTCGATTAATCTTAAATCAATTAATTAACAGAAAATAAAGATAATATTTAGTTACCTACTTGAGAAAATAATACATGTAACTAGTAAGTACAATCACTCACTAGTGATAACAACCCCGAAACTAAAACTATTTATGGACAATTCGTATTTTTATTGATTTCTTATAAACTTATAATTTCACGCGCACTATCCATTTATGAAACAACTTTTAATCAGTTTTATCGCGTTTGTATTTAGTTTTATTAACGTTTCGGATCCTTTACAGGTTCTGTGTTCACATACAAACGCAATAAAACCGTTTCAAAATTGTTTCATTTGATCTTTTTTTTTCAGGATCTTTCAGAAAACCATGGAGCAGTGACAGGATCATCGAAGTAATAGCTAATGTAAAAAACGCAAGGGTATCTATGGTTAACACAGACTGCAGGACATCTATGTCTTATTATTGGCTATCTAAATACGATATCATTACAATAAACAACGAAGAACATCTGATATTCAAAAGAAAGAATCCCGAAGATCCTATTATCCGAATCATACCCAGAGAAGATTATTTTAATATATTAAATGCTTTACATAAAAAATGCGGACATGGCGGACGTGATAAAATGGTGTGTAGTTTCAAGAACCGATATTACATACCAAAAAAAGCTATTGAAATTTTTGTCTCACTCTGCCCCACATGCAACACTAAAAAGAAAATTCCCAAAAAAACTACAGTAACTCAACCTACTGCCTTCCAAGATTTTAATAGTCGAGGTCAAGTTGACTTAATCGACCTGCAATCATGCCCGGATGGCGATTATAAATGGTTGCTCAAATACCAAGATAATGCCACAAAATTTATGAATCTCCGTCCGTTGCAAACAGACACGGCGAGTGAAGTCGCAATGAAGCTTTTGGAAATATTTTTGACTTTTGGTGCTCCACATCTTTTACAATCTGGCAACGGAGTAGAGTTTACAACAAATGTATTAAAAAAATTGGTTGAAATTTGGCCCGATTGTAAAACCGTGCAAGATGGCCCAAGAGACCCTCAAACTCATAGCAACGTTGATCGCAGTAATCGGGACATTGAAAAAATGATACGTTCATGGATGATAGACAAAAAGTCAACTAACTGGTCAGTAGGTTGTTTATTCTGTCAGTATCAGAATAATTCTTCATTCCTTGATATAATCGGTAGATCCCCATATAAAGCACTATTCGGCAGTGAACTTAAAGCAGATTTAAGTGGTATGAATATAACTTCTCAATTATTGTTGAAAATTGAAACAGAAGAACAGGATAATAACATTGTAAATGAAGTATTTGATGATGGCTATGATGTGCCCATAGCCGATACAATAAATGAACAGCCTGAAACTTCTAATAAATATGAAATGACTTATACTGACACAAAAGAAATACTTGATAAATCTAATGACACGGCCAAACTTAATGACGCAACTAATGAAATTGATAGTTTTCCTGTAAACCTTATAAGAGTCCGTGTAGGCCAGCCTAGTTGTTCGGGTGATTATCCTACAAATGTTGAGAATAGTATAACTGATTCACCTTGCTTTCAACCAGTTTCAACTTGTGTAGTATGCCATAAGCCTACGAATGGTGCTCATACATCATTATCCGAAGATGGAGAAGCTCCTAAATTATTATGCTTTGATTGCGGACCAGAAAAAAATAGAATGTTTCAGAAAAACAACGCCCACAAACGTATGAAACGTGCATCTGAATACAATATTGAGACTACATGTAAAAAACTACCACCTCTGGCTGTCGGTAAATGTGTCTTGATAAATATACCTGAAGCAGACCGGGGACTAGTGGACACTAAAAATATTAAAGGAAAAATCGTAGACTTTAGAAATGGAGTTTATAGAATAGGCACTAAATCAGGAACGATTAAAAATTGGTTTGAACGACAAGAGTTGCAACCGTTAATGGAATCCTATGATGGTGATATTTTAGGTACCCCGATATCTTTAAGGGAAGCTGTAAATAATGAATCAGTGTACAGTTTGGAAGTATATCAAAAATGCATATGTCAACCAGCGAAAAATCAATGTCGTACTATGAGATGTAGTTGCTTTAAGAAAAATGTTCTTTGTGGCTCTAAATGTCACAGTAATTCAAGTTGTGTTAATAAATAAACTGAGAATAACCATTATTTAGATATAAACATTTATTTAATTTATTTAGGACTGCAAACAATTGTTTCCAAATCATTGAATCAACTGGGAATCGAACCCAGTACCTCAGAGATGACGACACGTTAAAAATAAAGTAGATATTATTTTAGTTTCAAATTATTAATATACCAAGTAAGCATAAGTATATGAGTACTTACATTATAGTTGCATTTTGGCTAGTGCGAGTCCGACTAGCAGCTGTTGCTCGGTTCATAAGTTTCAGGAATGCAATAAAAAAATAAATATTTTTTTTTAAGAAAGCGGAAGGGGCTGGCATGGTATAAATAAAGTAATGAAGTTGAATATAACCTAAACATTTTTAATATACTATTATGTTTCATGTACCAATATTAAATCACATCTTGTGTAGATATGTAATTTGCAGAATGAAAATAGCGACATCTAGTGAAATCTGACAACACCATCTGCTAGCAAAGCAACTAGCGCCATCTTCATGATTAATGAAACAACACAGCTAAATTATTGTTTACATTTTTATTTACTTTGTAGGAACCAAGTGACGACATCTACCATAAACCGAGGAGCTATTCCTATCGAAACAGAGGTATTTTTAGGAATTTAAGGCATTTTTACCAGAGTTCGGGGAGTGCCTATGACTAAAGAGTGCCATAGCTATAAATTCGATAATGTATTAATTTTGTTTATTTATTTATTCGTATGGTGTTCAAATGCACAGAGTCGCTTAACAGAAGAGAAGAGTTTAAGTTTATTATTAACATATTTAATCCTTTGAATACAGCGAACATGGCCTCACATCTAAAGAGCAAAGTTTGAAATAATGGTAATTATAAATTAATTTATTATACAGAGCGAAACAAATTACGCCATACACCTAGTTTGCCTACTTAGACGATTGGTCCTGGATAAGGTTTAGGTAATTTTCTGATTTAGGTTTATTAAGTTTACAGATTAAAAAACTCAGATAAAACGATACTGTTACTTTGACTGCCAGTGAGGGTATTTTAATCAATGTTTAGTTAATCAACCAATACAGTCTGACGAAATATTTTAATTGTAAATTTGTTAATTTAATCTCCCAATGCAGTTCGACGAAATATTTTAATTGTAAAGTTAAATAATGTTGGGATTTGAGTAAAGTAGGCATGTGATGTTATGTAATACTAGGTGTTGGAATGCGACCCCTACGTGAATAATAGTTTAGATTACCCGGGTATGACATGATTTCCTGAAGGCACGGTGGAATACTTTGAATTTTAGAAATCGGCCTTGTAATTTCTTAATTCAAATGCAAACATTTTTTTTCCTTTTTTCAATATTAACTATAGTGGTATAGATTTATTTTTATATTCAGCATAGTTCAACAAACATTATTGTTGTTACGTTATCTTGCATTCTTCGATCAAAGTTTGCATTGTAGTCTTTAACTGTACAGAAGCTGTACAGCTACTGCACATAATCTTAGTAAATAGGTTGCACAAAACTATCCTTATCCCCAATTCATTAAAACTTTATCTAACTGCAAGTAGGGTTCAGAATCGATTGTGGAAATTTGATATGTCACGGAAAAAATCCATAAAAAATGTATCTTTTTTACACAACTGTTACTTGTTTTATTTACTCTTTGTACATTATACCTACTCTTTGCATAGGTATTTTATAGCATATTTTTGTGTTTTTTGTCATGCCATGTTAAACACTGCATATACGTATCCTACAATACATTCTATCTAGCTGCAGATCTGATTAAATCACTCTTAATAACACAAAGCACTTTGTAATATAAGGGGTTTAAAAGCAGCTGAAACCTTCGGCTGGAACTGGCTGGATCTTGGATGGAACCGTTACAATCTGCTTAATCTCTTTTGAATAAAAAATTTAATTTGCGATGTGCTACTTCTGTTTATTAGAGAAAGTATGGTTTGGAAGTGGATATTGAGTTATATTATTATGATAGGTGAGTGAGTACTTAGGGACTCGAGTAGTTTTTAAACGAATTATTTATTATTCACCTCCGACTGATAATTAAAAGAATAATAATAAGTTTTGTTTAATGAAATGTACTCAAAAAATCGACCAGCCGCAGGTGCCCAGTACCCAGAGGTGGTGGGACTCGAACCCACAGTCTTTCGAAATCCCGCAACTGCTCTATAGAGCCTCCATTGAGCTATCCGAGACCCAACACAACTGACGAATTTTTCAAGCACTTTATTTTATTTTTATATTATTTTGGTGACTAACTAATTGAATAACATAAGTACTTACAAACTATTTAATGAAGAACAAATAACAAGCCTCTGCAGATGGCCGTAAATTTAACGATAAACAAAATCTCCTACCTCAGTATTTAAATAAAATGAGGTGCAAAAAAAATAAATCGCTAAAATTGAGAACCAAAAGCAATAATAATGAGCATATCAATAAAATTAATTAGCGACACTATAATTGTTGGCTATAGTTCTGCTTATGTATGACAAACTGACCCGGAATATGACCATGACCTCATGATACTTACCTGTTATGGCGCTTGTTAATAGCATCAATTATTTTAGATACGCGAATAAAAAAAGCATTGCTATAGTGTACTAAAAAAACAAATTTCTAGGGTCATCGCGCGTTGCGTTTCTAAATTAGTTAATGCTATTAAGTTAGTAGCAAGATAAATAATTATTTGACCCCCCCCCAGCCGTCGCTGATCTCTGAGGTCCCCGGTTCGATTCCCGGTCGGGTTACTTTCGTTGACTCAAATACTCCATAATTGAGGGCTTTAGCTACTCATGTTAGTATTTGAGTAATGTATGTGATTTATATAGGGAAAAAATCTTGGACGATTCAAAAGTACTTTTAAGAAGTCTATTTGAATAAAGATTATTTTGACTTTGACTTTGACTATTAGGTATAGCATTGTGAGTGAAAGGTTGATTAAATATAATAATAAGTGTTATTTTTATTGATTTCTTTAATTCTAGTAATCCTCTTACACCACCATAATGCTCTGAACTTGAAGACATTGGAACAATGGAGGATCAATTTCAGATGCTTGGTAGACGAACTGGTGGAATATTTCGAACCATGTGGCTACCCCATCGAGCTGATCGCTAGGTCTTGTACTGAAATCTCGCAGAAAACTGTTTAAATTGTTGAACGGTCAGTTACGTTATTTGGAGTTGAATTGTACCTTTGAATAAATAATAAAACTAAAGGTAAATAACTTTATAACACACACTCAACATCAAAGGTGGTTTTTATAGACCAAATAAAAAAAAAGTTCAAATAAAAACCGACTTTAGCTAAATTACGCTGTAAAAAGTTTGAAACAAGAAATTTATTTTATAGCGATCAATAGTTTGTTTTGTCACCATGGCGTATTTTGTTTACGTATATTTATATATATTTTCAAATGTGCTAATTAAGCCATTTCATTTGATACTTTTTTAGTTTCTTTTTTTTAGTTATGCTCTTGAGTGTAGTTTCACGCGGACAACTAAGACGCTCCTAATTATTCCTCATCGTAACGATGAGTAGTTTCGAAATTATAAGGGAACAGATGAACATTCTTACATACATAGCGGCCAAAATCATGACCCTCCTTTTCGCCGTAGTCGAATAATAAAACTGCTTATTTTAAAAATTATCGCAATTTCAATTTACCGTTTGAAAGATATTCACGAACTTCACTCTACAACTAATTGTCATATGATAGCAACAGCGGCATCTTTAGAAAAATATTGAATGAACGATATCGTTATTTGGAATTACTTTGAAAACCTATGTGAAATATCAAATGAATGAGTCTAATGCTAACTGAAATGCTTGGACGGCTAAGTTTTGATCATCATTCGTTCCGAAAGTGATTGTGACTTTAACATATTTACACATAGGAGGTAAAAAAATAACACTTTTAAAATTGGTTTCACATTTATTACACTTAATGTACAGATTATGAAATCAAGCCTTATTGTAATATGGAAGCATTCCTTATAGAATTTTTAAATGTAATTTAAAATATTTCTATTGACAAAATAATGTAAATCAATGGTAATTTACAAAAATTTTGGATCACCAAGTAACGTTTAAAAATTGATGCCTTTAAAGCATCTATTTATTTCAAAATGTCCATATTCAACTCTATTACAATAAATTAAAAAATAAGTCTTTTTGCTAAATGCATTGATATCTAAAAACGAATATAAATAAATTATTATTATGACGAAAAATTTACTAATTATTTACAATCACCTATTACTAATTTTAGTTAATAAATAGAATAATAAATAAACAGTCGAAAACGTTCCTAAACTTAAAGTTAGTAAGATCAGTATAGTCAGTATTATTTGTTTACAATAATGGCGTAACTAAATTACAATAACAAAATTAAGTTACGCCATTTCTCATTTACGCCATAATAGTGGCGTAATATAACTTTTGTACTGATTATTTATTTTAATACGAACTCCTTATTTAATTAATCATGTTTACTGGAAGACAAGAATTTCCATTAGTTGGTCGTTAAATATTTTTTACATATTCTTACTACAAGGAAGTTGGCACTAAGATTTTAAATGAACTACTCAGATATGGGGTGAAGCGAAAATTTCATACGTCTATTCAAGTTTATATGGCTTCAGGATGCGACGTAAGAACTCGAATAGAACGTAATAATCGATTACCTAAATTTATCGGTAAAGGTAGTTCTTGGGCTCCTCTGCTATGGGTTCGGAACATGTTCCCAAGTATTTCAATTGGACGAGACTCCTGAAAAATAATAAAAATCAGATGAAACATAAAAAGAAAGTAAAAAGAATAAAATATAAACTGTTACAGGACTTGGAGCAAAGCCGACTGGTAAGAAATGTTCTAAATCTGCAATTTCCATATGGTATTAATGTTTTCTTCTCAAAGATCAAGAATTGGAGGAGCACAATGGTACAACTTTCACAAAACCAACTTTTGGGAAATATCAGGGAATGAGCGTATATCAGCCAGTTGCAAAAACATTCATTAAAATTGACATTTATTGAAACCGACATTACCATTAAACAAAAACATTAAGAATGTGTGATATTGACGACCTCCGCAGCCTAGTGGTTCGCACTCCGGTTTCTTGGTGTCGCCATCTCTGAGGTCCGGGTTCGATTCCCGATTGGGTCAATGTAGAATATTAACTTTTTAGTATTGTCTGAGTCTGGGTGTTGTGTTACTTTCGTTGTATCAGATACTCCATAATAGCTTTAACTACTCATCTTGGAATCTGAGCAATGTATGTGATGTTGTTTAAAAAAAGAAAAAAGAATAGTACGTAAGTAACAGCCAAAATGTAATAGTTTTAAGTAGTAGATAAGTTATTATAACGGCAAAAAACCGGAAATGTATGTAATATAAGTAATGAAAAAAAAACAAAATAGGCAAGAAAGAGCTGTTGATGAGTGGGGAAACTTGGTGTTTATAAGAAATCTCACCTTGATCGACAATTCTCCATTTCCAAGAAGCATTTGTTGGAGTAAGTCTTTTCATCTGTTCCGCATACGGGGTCGTATTCTGGAGGACACACTCGCGCACACCCTGAATATTGGAACCGGGACAGGCACCGTTTTAACGGGACTACATACACGTGTTTCCTATTAAAAAAAACAGTAAATTAATATTTAATCGTCGCTTGAAAATAATCTGTCATAATGAAATTTATAAAATATAATAATTAGCAAAAGTTGCGACTATAAATAAAATAAATCAGTAATATACTGACATTGAGATAAGAACGTTTATATATATTGGCTAGAGAGGGTACTAAACTGTGACGTCAAAGTCTAGTAAGCTAAAAGCACATAAAAGTAAGGTATAATATTGTTATAATAATTGTCTAACTTATAGTTTGTTAATTTTCAAGAATTTTCGAAAGCGACCTATTTATATATTGATATTGAGGCATATGGAAATCAAAAAAATATATATAAAAAGACAATACATTTTCTTTTTAATAGCACGATAACCATAGAAAATAACTTTTTTTAAAAACATCGCCAAAAGTAATTAAGAACTGAGAAACAATAGATACCTATATTTATTTTAATGAAAACAGGCTTACTTATTTTGGAAATCCTAATAGCACACCGTAACAAATAACAAAAAAACTAAATAATAACAATCGAAAACAACAAAGACATAATAAAATTATTTGTGATTTCAAAACAATCGAACTACTTATGACTGCCTTATACTCATCGACCAGTATTTATTTGTTGACGGTACTGATTGTTGAAACGTTATGAAGAAGTATTAAAAAAAAACATTAATTCCTGAAATCAAACTAGCTACTTTACTTTCTTAGTTTCTCCATGACAACCTTTCCTGTTTTCTTTCATATATAAAAATTAATTAAACTTAAAAACTCAATAAAAACTCATATTTAATTTGTACTTTTTTGTATTTGTATTGATATCTAAGTTTCGAACTTTGCAAATTTCAGTTTTTTTTATATGTTAGTTAATAGGAACGGAAATGACTATCTTTGGTCCATTCGTTTCCCGCAAAAATCAACTTTTGCTAGAGTCACCATCTAGTGAGGTGCCATTTCAGTGCTCTCTTTTTTTCCTCGTTACGTCACTAAAATGATGTCTGGCCGCATCAAGAATTTGCGGGAATTATAGATGGTATGTGTACAGTACAACTCACCCGCAGTTCTCCTTCTTCATGATGCACTCGTTCTTATAGAACTTATTGTCCGATCCGCACACGAAGGCGATCGTGTCGGCGATGGTGACCTATAGTTGATATATGAACAGTACAACTCACCCGCAGTTCTCCTTCTTCATGATGCACTCGTTCTTGTAGAACTTGTTGTCCGATCCGCACACGAAGGCGGGCGTGTCTGGGCACGGCTCGTTGCAGAGCGCGGTGGTCCGGCAGTGGGACGCCGCCACCACGACCACGTGCTGGCCGCACGTTACGCGGCGGAGATCACACTCTGACCTGAGATAAAAGCAAAGATATTGACCAATACAAAGAGGAGAGCAAAGATACACAAAAGGACAAAAGAAATCTTACTATTAGAGAGAGAAGCAAAGATATTGACCTAACCAGAGAGAAGAGCAAAGATACACGAAAGAACAAACGAAATCTTACTATTAGTGAGAGAAGCAAAGATATTGATCTAACCAGGAGAGATGAGCAAAAATACACAAAAGAACAAACGAAATTTCACCTAACCAGAGAGAAGAGCAAATATACATGAAAAAACAAACGAAATCATAAAATCAGAGAGAAAAGCAAAGATAATCCAACTTAAAATAAACGTTTTTTATCCTATTTATACTATAAATTTGCCATCACGCTACTGCACCTGCTGGCATATTACGTAAATATATTAACAATATCACAACGTCCAGTGTTATTATCATCGTAAGCCTAATCGCCTCTACTAGGGCACGGGCCTTCAATAAGGATCGAATCAAATAGGTAGAATAGGCAATGGCCCATCACGCGGGCTCGTCGTGGATAAATGGAAATTCGGGACAAGTGGCTTCACGTCTATTATTAAGCACGGATTCGGATTAAGGTGAATTCTTTGTCAACCACCCAATGACCGACCCTTGCGAATGTTATTTATCCTTTCTTTTGTAAATCAAGACAAATACAAATTATACTTCCAATCAGGACTCTCCGACCACTAAGACCAAGATCAAGGGGCGAAATCAAAGCATAAGTTATAAAATCCGTTGCCGAGTACTCTTGGATGAGAGAAAGATCCGGCAAGGAGGTCGTTAAATGATCTAGCACAGTTGTTTACAAAGTTGATTGAGATTCAACCCATCTAATAAAACTTTCCAATTTTGTAGTTACCGCTATATCAATGATACTTGGATATTGTAGTATTATCCCGTATTAATGATACTGGGCCACTAGACTACTGGAGCCCCTAACGTGTTTTTTCGTTTTGCCAACAAAACTCTTCATTTGTGCCTCCCAACTGATTCTAATACAGGGCGAAGGACGTTACGCCACTGGACTTACCTGTTGGATGTCTCAGTCTAAAGGCCAAAATATATATTTAAACAGTGCTGAATCGCTCATCAGGATCCACTCAATATTGATTCGTATCCCATCGTGCGGTCTAGTACATCAGACTTACTTGTATACGTTGCCATCTGACCCGCAGACAGGTTTTTCTATAGCATTGTCACAATTATCAGCGCAATCTTTCTCCAGTCGTGGCAGCACTGTGCAATTGCCAAAGTGGGCGAGCTGAACTCCTTTCCTTGAAAAAATAAGTATAGCTTTAATAACAAGACGAATAGATTAGTGATTTTGTTCTTTTTTTATTTAGGAGTTATATCATAAGATATATCTTTCTCTAAGACTCAATTTGATTTGATCTACCAAAATAATTAGCTGAACGGTCTACTATTAATGTAAATTCATTGATCAATATGATCATAGTATGTCATCATACATCAAATTATGGCCATAGCTTGGGATTTGTGTGCATGTATGTTTTGTTTACTCTGAAGTTTTCTTTTTTCTGAAGAGATGTTTTTAACTAAAAAAAGGGTTATTAACAGAGTGGTATATGAGGAAAATTTATAAGTATGATACAGGACCAAGCAGGAGAGCCACTAGCGGAAGGCTAGTTGGTTATAACTTACGCAGGCGAAGACGTGGAGAAACAGCTAGTTTGCTATAAAAGTGTAACTTACAGACAAGTAGCCACTTTAAGATGACAAGGGTTGTTGTATACGTTGGCATCAGTGCCGCATACGGGGTCGTAATCTGCAGAGCATTTCACTCGGAGGCACTTGTTCATCTTTGATTTGCATTTCTCCATATCAACTTTCTTTACGATCTTTCTGTTACTGGCGCTGTAAATCAAAAGCACAATGCATTGCTACTTTTTTTTATACTTTCTTTACACACAAAATATTTAACTCTACATTATTAACCTTTCTTTTTTGCTGGTCCTTTTAAGTATATTGCCAAAAGTGGAACGTCATAATTTGTTTTCATTTAGATTGCTACTTGTGTTCTCATTTGAGGATTTTCTTTTTTATTATTATCATGAAAATGCCAGTATTTTGATAACTTTTCATTTTTTATTCAATATTATAATTATACTGTTCTACGAATTTGTTTTTTTTTAGTTTTCAAGATAACTTTATTTGTGTATTATACTGATCTTCATAGTATTACTTCAGCAAAGACTAGATGTTTAATATTGTCAAATATAATACTATCATCTAAACAGATCAGCTATAATATAATTAATATATATTATGACAAACAAACAAAGATTTTCTATAATGTGTAGGAATATATTATTTATTATTATACCTAAAGTCTAATTATTAGGGCCAATATGAAAATGTTCTTACCCACAGTTCAGCATCTTCATTTCGCATTCATTTCTGTAAATGTTTTCATCGGAACCACAAACCAGTTTTTCCTTTTGTCCAGAACAATCGGTAGGACATGATTCACCTCCTGAAGTACGCTCTTGGGACACGCAAAATGCCATAGGCACTTCGAAGACATGTTTTCTGAAATAACATGGTAATATCTTAATCATAGTGGTATTTTTAATAAAATAGAAAGACAATATTCGCGTGAAAAAAATGTCAGCATGAATATAAACCACAGATGAGCAAAATCTAGTTAATCCAAATTAACGATTATTTTAAGTAACCTTCATTCTGAATTGAAGGACCAAGTTAAGTCAAAGTGAATTTTTAGCACTCTTTCAGAATTTCTTTTCACTAGAAAACCCTGACATCCTTCACATTTCATAACTACATTAATGTTAGTTAGAAATTAGCTAGGAAAATATGCCTTTCAAATGTGTCAGAACTTTTCAAGTAGAAATAAGTTTATCTCAAACTACATAATGAAACAATCTTATGTAACTACTTATTAAATATACACAATATAGATTTGCTTACCCGCAATTAGTGGCTTTCATCCTGCAGGCATTTGCGTAAAGTTTTCCATCAGAACCGCAAGTAGGCCGAGCTACTCGCCAACAAGACTCGCGGCAATGACGCGTCGTCTGGCAATGCTTTTTGCTGGTTCTTACTACTCCTTGACTGGAAATGTTAGTAATTTATTATTTTCTTACTCAAAAACATAACCTGTAATTCCCTATAAACTCATCACTCCATCATTTTCCTAGTAATAGATTATTTTTTAGGCGAGAATATTTTTTTATCAAAACTACTATGAGTGTCTGCTGTAAATCTCCTTTACGTTTTCTATATCTGCTTCTAATGTACAGAGCGAACTTCTTTAATGAATATTCTTAATGAAAAATGCTTAAAAACTCCACTTTGTCTCTGGCACTCTGAGATGGGACAATCTTATACAGTAACTAATTAGGTGCAGATGTTACTAAAAAAATTACCCGCATGTAAGCAATTTCATCTGACAGGTGCTCTTATAAACATTTCCATCGGAACCACAAATGGGCCCGTCGAAGGGAGCTTGGGAACAATCGACGGGACAATTCTCTCTGTGAGCGCTGATATTGTTACATGCCCCCAAGTGAGACAAGCCGATTCCGACCCTGAAAGGAAATGAAATAAAAGTTTGGCAAATATAAAATATAACACAATATTTTTTATTGAAATCGGAAAGATGTACGACCATAGATTATGACAAACAATAGACATTTATTCAAGTTGCGATCGAATAAAAAAAACTTAGGATTTTGTTGAACAATGTCTAGTGATGCTCGGGACCGTTAGCTTTTTGATTCATTTATTAAATAAGTCTTATTTTTTTATTTGTCGTCCTTTTAACAATTGCAATAGTCAATTACTTATATCAAACAGATACGAGTAAAGTGATCGTGAATCGATTTGTGGGATATGACATTAATTATTAGCGTTTTGTATCAATTGCCTAATTGTATTCGGAACTCCCATCAAATCTGTTTTTGCTTATCTAAATGTAGCCTAAGGTATTTCTTCATTAGGAACTATATAATTTCTTCATCCTTACCTGCATATTTCAACTTGCAGCATACATCTGTTTAAATAAGTTCTGCCATTAGTTCCACAGACTGGATCCCTTTCAGAAGTGCAACGATGCTCACATTTGGAACCTTGAGCTCGAGAGCAGGATCCTTGATCAGGAGCCAATCGAACACCTGAAAGCACATTGACACGAATGTTTAAATTGAGAAATGATCTATGCGTTGTCTTTGTTGTTAAATCAACGAAAGTCTTTATTTAGTTTCGTGAGCTTGCTTCAGTTTTTATTTGGTACATTTAAGCACATTAGTAAGACAATACCAAACAACTCCAAGTCCCTATTTAGAACTATATGCGTATTAGACATGTTTCGTTATATATTGCTTACCTACTCATTGCTTAGAAGTCAAGTGTTAGAAATAATTAAAATGTTTGCAGGAAAAAAACTGACATTGCTTTTGATTTCGCTGTGAATTTGATGCTTCTAAACAAGGTCTCACATTAATTAATTGACAAAGGACAACAAACATTGGACATGTTGAATACTCTTAGCTATTTTTTAATTTATAATTTCTTCGGAATAATTTGTGTGGCTTAAATTTCATACCGATGCTTTTACCTTTTCCACATGTTTTCTTCCTCATTTCACAAAGAGATGGGTAGATGTAGCCATCTGTAGCGCACACTGGTTCTCCTTGCAGCGCGGGTCCACATATTCTAGGACACGATGCATCTCTTGCCCCCTCACACCAAGATACAGCTGTGAACAAATCAAATACATACGTATTAGCTGCTAATATATGATTTTACTAACTTTTCGCCGCCGCAATTTCGCCGCGTGGTCTTATAATATTATATATGTACAATATCCTTTTTTTAATTACCCTTTCTTTAAAAAAATCGCATCAAAATCCGTTGCGTAGTTTTAAAGATCTAAGTATACATAGGGACAGACGACGGAAAGCGACTTAGTTTTATAATATGTATTGTTGATGTCATGTAATAACGCTTAATCACAATAACAAACATGAAATTCCGCTGTGTTTGCCATTATTTATCGTACAGGCGTTATATAAAATTAGGTACGTTTAAGTTTGTTTATCACTTCGTATAGATTATTCGTGAATTTTAGTATTTTAGACCTGATAAGTAAGTTTTAAGTTCACAACATATAATAGATAGATATATTGCTTAAACTTGAAAAGTTTGCTTCTACTTTTGATAAATTATCATATTTAACGAGAACAGGTAATTAATTTTTGTACCAAACTAGAGTCTATAATTGACGCCATTATCTCGTTGCATAGTTCGAAATTTTCTAAAAGCCGGCCTTCGGGTGGTCGTCTGTACCACGAAAGTCCATTAGACTGGTCCCAAGTTGCAGTGTACCGATAAAACCACATCGGGAATGCTCGGCGACTTTATTCCGTCCTCCATATAAATTTATGCTGCAAGATAAAATTGAACGCTACCTCGAAATAAAGTACCTATCTTGATATAAATTGAAATAGATTGCAATCGAGATTAATTTTGTGAGCGCTTGGTAAAAAGAAAACTTTTATATATTAAGAGATGCAAAAGTTTGAATCTTACTGAAGATGGAATAAAATAATAAAATGGCTTTATATGAGATTTTTATTTTACGTTTTTTTACTTCAATACTTTGGAAAGCAAGCAGGAGTAAGATTTTAATGACAAGAATTTCTTAATTCAATCTTAAGGTTTTGTTTTTATTCCATCTTCAGTAATAATAGGTATAAAATTTATCAGACGTACGACCGCTAACCTCTCAAGCCATGGATTTTGATGGATAAATTCCTAAATTGATCACTACTATGAAATCCATAAACATTTTTCTTTATCACTCGATATAAAATACATGTCAAAGTAGTAAAATGAGGTATCGCTACAGAACTAAGGAAAGAAAATGGTAAACGCAAATTAATCTGAATGAAAGGCGCCGAAGGGGCAGAAGACATTTGCAATCTTTTGAATGAAATTCATTTGCTTAGACTAAATCAAATTCGTTTTATTAGTTCTATTCCTTCGTCTTAGATTGATCTGTTATTAACCATAGAGACAGATATTTGCGTATATATCCATAGAGAAGGATGTGAGCAAACTATGGTTCGAATCTGTTTTGATAACAGCGTCGTAGCAGCATTATAAGCTAAATATAATAGAACCTTTATTGTTTATAAGATTTCTTAGATGACCTTTTGAAATGTATCTTATTTAATTGAACATCTACGCCATGACAGCTCTATCGACGCTGTATATTTGATAGAATAGCAAAGCTGCTCCAAAAAAGTAATTTAAAAATCTTTGTTTTATAAAGTCATAATGGATTTAATTTCTATCAGTAGGTATTCTGAATCTTGTAGTCTAAGAATGCCATAAACATTACTTCCTTTGATCACCCTAACGCCCTTGAAGTACGGTATTTAGGCCATATCCCTTTTGAGCAAAGATCTTGACATGTCTTGCATTGTCCAATGCAACAATGCAAGATAATAGGTTTGCTCTAATATTTCTATAAGCTATAGGGCAAATGAGATACTTGGAATAAATTCTAATCGTTCAGATAAGTGATTTATATACATTGAATCAATTTTTTTTATAGATTAGACAATCTATACTAATAACTTGAAGTCTCTAACTTTGTTTGTTGGGGAATCTCTTAAATACCAATTCGATCGTAAAATTCTTTCACCTACACGAAGTATAATTTACGTGAGCGAAGTCGCGGGAAAAACAATTATATTTTTTTAAAGTTTATTAAATTTTAAGTTAAGCAATTCTCAATTAAAGTTTATTTAGAGTACACTTTATTTTTCAAAACAAAATACACATTATATACAGGTCTATATCTAATATCTATCAATATTACAATAGGATATTTAAAAGCACTTGGTAAATTATTTTCTAATGTCATTTTACCAATGATCTAACCCTGACATAGATATCAATTGTGTTTGTACTGATAAGAATCAACAAGAGTTGGACACGTGTTTCCTATGAATGAATATATATGCTAATAAGATCCATTTTTCTTAGAATGAGCTGGGTGTAATATTCATATGCGCTATAATGAAATATGAATAAAAACTACATAATCGACTTTCGTTTTTCATAACTAAGCAAATATTGTTATGAGTGACATTTTCAGTTAGCTAGATATAAAAATACAGTGTTAGTATGGCAGTTGAAATTTTAAAATTAAGATCCATCGGTGACCGTTTAATTATTATAAATAAAGACAATAGTAGTGATGAATGGGTAAAAAAAACATTAATCCGTGAGGTAGATAACAGATAAATATTATATACGTATTTTTTTGCTTTAATCTAACAATAAAAAGTTTAGATAAAAGGCATTAAATTTGAAGAGCGGGGGCTTCCATCAAACTCATAATCCCTTTTAGTAAAAAACACTATGATTTTCCCTAATAGGAAATTGTTTTTAATATATACGTATTAGGAACTTTACTTCTATTAAAGTTCCTAATACGTTAGAATTTTTTACTTCTATTGCAATTCAAATAGGGAGATTGGGCCAAGACCCATCACGCGGGCCCAGTGCGGATTGGTGGGCGTTAACGACTGCAAATGCAGTCATAACCAACTGTTAACGGGCCTTCTGAAACCTGGAGAATCTCGAGACAATAATTTTTTGGTCACCCATCCTATGGCCAGCCCATGTAAAAGGTACTAACCACTGCGCCATCGAGCTCCTCATTACAAATTACGAATGTTCAAAAATATTCACATTGGTGCTGTCGTTCTCGAATCTTATATTAAAAACATAATCAAACAGTTTCTGAACTGAGAATTTAAAGTTAAGCACTTCTCAAACCGTACTTAAGATATTACAAACGTCACTTAAACAGATTTTAGTTTCTGTTTTTTTTTAATGATCTGTTGATAGCAGTTTGACGAAACTAGGACTTTTTGCCATGTAAAACGTAAAAACTTAAGTTATTGAAAATAATTGGCTGATATTTGTACTTTTCTCAATTCAGAAACCAGCCCAAAATTACCACCAAATGTACAAATTCTCAATTAGCTCATGAGCGAGTCGTAATAATTTGAGAATAATTAAATAATTTTAGTCCCGTCGGAGCTTAAGGTACCAGAGGCACATAAATCCTAATTATAGGCATGGTATAATGATGGTACAAGTAATCAGATAAATTGAGCAGTTATATTTCTGGGCAATTAAGGGTGGCGCATGCATGCGAAATTTTCGGACTTCAAAAACAAAAATAGCAAACATTTCTTTAAACACCGTTTCAAATAATCAAAACAATTTATTTCATTTATTATTATAATGTAGATATTCTATATTAATATTATACATAGGAAAAAGAAAAGAAGACAACAGAGCGAGCAACAAATCAACAGTATGTAATTTGAAAATAGTAGATAGATTAGTAGTAGATAGATGAAGAGAGTTTTAGAATCATCGCTTAAATATACTTTAGTCACAATATAGGATAAATCATTTATTTAATTGATAAATTACGAAATAAAACATTTATATTGTCCAAATTGAAATTCAATAATATTTATTCAGTCTAGGCTGTTTCAAGCACTTGTGAAAGTCGAAAAGTGTGCCATCAGTTCATGAATCTACAGCGGGAGACCTTGTACTGAGAAGAACTGGCAAGAAACTCGGCAAGGGCTTCTTTTTCTCCCTGTTTTAATCCATGGAGAGATGTCAAATTAAAATTAAAAAGTAACTTCTTTAGAATACGAAGTCCCTTTCCATTACATAAAAAATTACAAAAAAGTTAATCGATCAATATTCCGCGTCATACAAATCCATTGATAATAAAACTGATATACAATATGCATAATAATAAAAAATTAATAAAATTAAGTAGTTCATATAGCAGACTCATTTTTAGGGAACGTAACAACCCGACGCACACGACACCGCTGCCTGCCGCAAAGGTTTTTAAAGGAGCATGACATACTGTGAGTTCATTCGGTCGTTTCGTTAGACGAAGAAACTAAAAAATCAGCTAAAGAAAGGGTCAAATCAAATTAATAATATTAAATCAAATTCTTAATAATCATCATCATCATCAGCCCTTTTACGTCCCCACTGCAGGGGCTCAGGCCTTCCTTATGGATGGTTAAGGAGGATGGGCCATGACCCTCCACGCTGGCCCAATGCGGATTGGAGGGTATAATATTGGAGGCGATAATTCTTAATAATATAATTTTATAAATAATTAAAAGAACATTTATTTGTTTGTTGTAGAATCATATTAAAACTACTAAATAGATTGCGATGTAATTTCGAACTCGATATAAATTATAGGATTTGTTGAATATTAATATTTAGACAACAATGTTATGAACGGGTTTTGGTTTATTACTTCGCTGATGTATCCTTTACTTAACTTTCATGTAATTATAGCACAGTAAAATATAAATTGGTTTTTGTAACGAAGGCTCTAATTACGCATAACATTAACCCCTTATGGACGGTCTGGCGCCATTACGAAAAACCTTTTAGGAGCTAACATAAAATAATTCATTTTGTTTTAAATATATATTTATATTGCGATAATATTGATAAATTACGCTGTTCTTCAATAATCTTTCTGATATAATATAAAATGATTTAATCGCTCATTTTTCGGATAGTGTAAATGACAGACACTGGTTTTTGTAAATAGTTTTATATATGTCATGTTTGCAATTTCTCATTGAATTTATATTTTGTTCCATTTTGTTCTTTTATTATTTT